TTAGCAAATATGTATCACTAATACCAAACAATGGTCATATTTTTCTTTATGAGTTTTCTTTATTTGACTAAACGATCGCATTTGTAATGATTTGACATAAATTAATGTAACTAAAAGGTAATCAATAGTCACAACAAATATAAACTAACCATAATTAAAAAGAATTGTCTTACTTTAAATTATATTTATATGTGACTAATAGGTAGGTTATAGTCATACTTAAAAAATTTATATATCACAAAATAATAGCAAACACCACTCTAATAACACATTCATGTTGTCATACGGTCACCTAATGCCACTTAATTAAGGAATATTTGTGCCTAAAAAGTATTTACGGTCACATATTCGATAAAATCATTGATTACATCCACTTTTTTATGCTACGATCACACTTTTAAATGTTGAATTTTAATGTGACCATAAGATATCTATGGTGTAACATACCAAAATAAGGTATAATTTATAAACCCTTGTTCGTTTGGTGATTGTCGAGTTTGGACCTTATATGAGAAAAAGGTGGTAAATGAGTACGTGGGGCGTACGCTAGGTATGTTCAGCATACTCATGTATGTATTTTTGACGCGAAAGCCACCTAGTACGCTAGGCATACTAGGCACAGAGTGAAAAACCTAATTTGGGTTGTGTCCCTATTTAAAGGACATTATGGCCTCATTTATGGCCACCATTCCCAGACATCAACTCTATCAAACCCTAATTTCTCGTCCCTTGAGCTTGTGTGTCCATTGTTGAGCTATTAAGTGTTCTTGTGTTTCTTTGGAGTGAAGAAGGAGCTTTGAAGAGGAAAGAGTAGGAATCTAGGCTTTGGATCTGAGCTTATCTGTGGTTGGAGCTTCAGTTAGAGGTATAAAGTTCAAATATTTCTCACTCTTTTGATTTGTGCATCATTTTACTTCATTTTAGGGTTTTGGTACCAAAGTTGAATGCTTTATGAGATATTGAGCTCCAAAGCTTATTATCAACTAGTTTGAGTGTTTTTAGTGATGTAGAGTCATAAAAATCGAGACTTGGACGTGTAAACCAACCCATGCATGAGATATGAGCATTTTTGAGAACAGAGAGTGATAGTTTTGGTTTTTGAGACTTTATCAGCCATGCAAAGGCTTAAAGTCACAAAATTTATGGAGTAAGAGCCTTTAAGGAGTCCAGATATGAGATTTGAGCTAAGGTCTTAACGATTAAGACCAAATGAGTAGAAAGAGAAAATGGGGGAGTATGCTGAGCGTAATCCCAGTACGTGCAGTGTAGGGTCGAGAATCCCCGATGCGTGCATGGCGAAGGAGTACGCCCAACTTAGAGGGCTTGTACGCGCAGTGTAAACGCTGTCGTTAACTTTTCTTTGACTTTTAGGATTTGGTCAGTTTGTGGACTATTAAGGCCATGGAAGGGTAAAATGGTCTTTTATCCTTCTATGAGTCTATAGAAGGGTTAGTCTAGCTTCCTTGAGATCCGTTATTAATTAGAGATAATTATCGTATGTGTTAGGCGGAGGCTAGACAGGAGATTTGAGTTTGAGGTTATCCGATTCTCTTACGAGGTGAGTCTTCTCGCTATACTTTACCTAGAGTGGTAATTTTTATGTGTTCGGAGGGTCTTATGTGTTATATTGAGTATTGTGATATCCTGGATTATGTCTTTGTGATTTATGTTGTGTATTATTCTGAGGTTATTGAGTTAGGACCGGAGGGTCCCACTGAGACACATTAAATGGAGGTTCTTATTCGAGTATAGCCATGAGAGACTAATGAGATATGTGTGGTATTTTGGAGAACTCATTAAGCTTCGTGCTTACTGTGTTATGTGTTATGTGTTTCAGGTACTTCTAAGGATCACGGGAAGGTACTGGTTTGATAGTACACACTGGAGCGAGATCATTTTTATGATTATGGGATAGTGATTTTTACTTGTGGATCTGTTGACATTTGAGACACTTGTGGTTTTTGAGAAAATGTAATATGAGTTTTATTGTGTTTTAAAATGAAATTTTTGTTTGAAAATTTACGATGTTACAAGTTGGTATCAGAGCCTTGGTTTGAGGAATTCAGATATAGCTTCAGGTGTGTCTGGACTCAAACTGAGGACTTGAGAAAAAATTTCAAAATAAATAATTTTTTTTCTAAAATGAGAAAGAGTTTTAAGAGAAAACGATTTGGAGCAGTGTGTACTATCAGCCAGAGCCCGAACGGTGATTTCCCAAAATACCCTTACTTATTTGTTTTATGAGATATTAGTGATGTATGATAGAGGATAAGCTAAGTAATTCATATGTAGGGCTAGAGTTGCTTGATTTGTGATGCCTTAGCCTAGGAATTGTTGCTATCTGCTATGTGCTTTGAGTATGTACTGATTAAGAGTATCTAGCAGGAATCACTTAGAGAGAGAATACTAAGTCGAAAGATAATCTAGGAGAGATACCTAGATAAGCATATGAGAGATCTATTGAGAAAGTAGTCTGTTATGAGTGAGAGTTTGAGTACTTGTGAACTAGGATCCTAGGAGGAGGACTTGGGGTGACTACGGGCTGGTGTGGAAGGTAGTATTGGTCCCTTACTACAGAAAGCACCGAATCTGTATGCAACCCAAGTAAGAATCCTTAGGATGCTAAGGAACAAGTAGGGACGAGTGATCGAGTGTGAGTATGGTCGAGCGAGTCTCTGATGATTTTTGTGTTATGTTCCAGAGACATCATGGTGGGTATACGCCACAACCTTAGGAGGAGTGAGACTAGTGATGATGAAATACACTATTTGAGATGTTTGGGTCTATTAAGACCACACTATTTGAGACGTTTGATGAGCAATATGTTGTTGTTACTGAGGTGACTGTTGCTGCAGCCACCGTAGCTGTCGCCGTTGCCAGGCCACAGGGAGGTGACTCATTGTTGTTTCGGGAGTTCAGCAACACGAAGCCACCAGAGTTTGATGGGACCAAGGATCCTATTGCTGAGATAAGATGGATCTCCAATATCGAGGGGTGTTTTTACACATTTTTGTTCTAAGAGAAAGATGTTTGATGTTGTTCTTGATATGGTTGAAAGTAATTTTTCAGGTGGGGACGTCATTAGGTCTTACAATATCTTTAGGTAAGTTTATAATGAATTTACTTTTGGTAGATCTAGTGTGGTTGTTTCGCATTACTCCTACATATAACATTAACTTGAATACATCATTGTTTAATTTATTATTATGAAATATATTTTTTATCAACATTTCCTTTGTATATAAGTGGTAGTTATATACGTTGAAATCTTTTTTGTTTTATATTGTTCTTTTGAAAAACAATTTTAAAATCCACACATATCTTATATATAAAAAAAAGTCGGAATGTATATTTTCCATATTAGAATTGTGTATTCTGATAATATCTTATATAACAATTTCAATCAAGTATAGTTTACGAAGTTATTGTGTATTAAGAAATCTTAGCTAGTAAGTAGGAAGTTAAAAAAGGCTGTCCTTCCCTCTTAGAAAGCAAAAGAATCCATGTTAAATAAGCCTTAACTTTACCCACACTTTTGCCTTTCCATGTAATTCACATTGAGTTGCATCTTCAAAAAAGCCAAAAGCATATTCGAAAGCATCACCGTCTTGTACATTACTTACAAACACATGTACATGTCATCCATTATATATACAAAACATACATAACTGCGAAGCTTAGTGTCAATCCAACAATGGCTACTTCCCTATCAACTTTATTGCCAGAAAGCCAGCAGCCTCAAGAGCAAGAACCCATCGCACGAGGAGACGTTCATTCGTCGTCAGGATCCATCGGGCCATTCTTCGCAGTCATGTCGGTGTTGATGGTGCTTACCATTCTTTCCTGTGTCTTCGGAAGGATTTATGGCAGACAAGCAGCGGAGGCACCCTTGGATAAGGTTATAAAGAGTAGAGATTGTTTCGGGTGGTTAAAAGGCAGATTATCGCAGTGCATGGTGGGTTGTGGTGGTGCCTGTGATGGTCATGTGATTACACTCGCCGGAAAAGGGGAGCCGCGTAAGGCGGAACAGGGTGTCGTATGACCCTACATATTGCATATTTAGAAGATCTGGGTCATTTGATTGTTGATACTCGTTTTCTTTTGGTTATATAGCAGCATTTTCCTTGCAATTTGTATCGGGTGTTAATATACGTACTTTCTCATTCGTATAAAAACTCAAACATAATATATATATATATAGGCTCAAACACTTATATGTAGGGATACAATAACTGAATAAGTAATTGAAGGTACCTATAGAATTAGTCTTTGTATTATTTAATTTGAAGTAATTGAAGACACTCTCTTGATGCATGTCAAATGGTAAAAACCTAATATACTATTTATCATTGACTTAAAGAAAAAAAAAAGGAGAGATAATCACTTAAATATCTATTATAGCCGTTTAAATTAGAAAAAAAAAATGGTAATCAGTTCTTAAAAGCAGATTAAAATTTCAGTTTTTTTTTTTCCCTTATTAATAATTTACCCAAAATAATTTTATTTTAATTCGAAGTCACAAAGAGAAAAGTTAAAGTCGTAAAGAAATGCTTCCTTGACCCAATCTTATGCATAGAATTAGCACCGAAATACAAATACTTATTGATGCCCGGGTTTTATTGACGCCATAACTATTTTTAAAATTTAAGCGACCAGATCGAGTACATATGCTTGTATTATATTTAAATTCAAAACATATACAAATAATTTTGCAAAAGCTCGTATAACCAAATAGTTGACATTTCATAAGAATCAATGACCTCCTTTTCTGTTCTCTTTGCATTTTATTTGTTGTTGTTGTTATGAACACGAAAGAGGCTTCCATGGCTTCCGAAGGTACATGTATGCATTCCTCCTATCTTATTCCCTAAACCACCCTCTCTATCATTCCTCGCCGCCGTTAAACAAAAAACAGGCAATCAAAACAACCATAATCCATTGATTGTCGCAATATATATGAGATCAAGATCAGGCGGCCGGCCACCACCACCACCACCACCATGTCGACCACATTGATACCGGTTGACCAACTCAAACAACTCCGGGACATATTTAACCGGTTTGACATGGACGCTGATGGATCCCTAACCCACCTAGAGCTAGCCGCCCTCCTCCGTTCTCTAGGCCTGAAACCCTCCGGCGATCAGATTGATATGCTCTTCAACAACATGGACTCCAATGGCAACGGTGCTGTTGAATTCGAGGAAATGGTGCGCGCCATGTTACCAGACATGACGACGGAGCAGTACATCTTCAATCAAACACAACTTGTCAAGGTCTTCCATTCGTTTGATAGAGACAGGAATGGGGTTATCACGAGGGCTGAGCTCGCCAAGGCCATGGCGAAAATGGGTCAGCCATTGACGTATAAAGAGCTCACCGAGATGATCGAAGAGGCTGATACAGATGGCGATGGTGTCATTAGTTTTAGTGAATTCGCAAGAGTGATGGCTAAATCTGCAGCCGAATCGTTTGGATTCCCCGTTCCATTGCCTTGATCTTTAGGGTAAACTCGTGATTTTGTATTCCCCTGTAGATTTTTTGTATATAAATTTGAATGTAATTGCTTTGCATATGAAGAACCTTAAAACCAACAGAGAGTTAGACGAAATCCATTAGTTTTAGGATCGAAGGAAAAGAAACATCAGAGAATAGAGAATAGTTTGTTGTTTTGTTGGATACTTTTAATTTGTGTGTATATATGTTCTGGATACTTATTTATCATGACCTACCTTGATGCAAAGAGTCTTCATTGAGCTGAGGAGTCGGGTTTCAATTTCAAATACATGTGATTTTAATTTCAAAAAATACAGTTTCTTTTGTAGTCTATCGTCACATCCGGCTCGTTAAAACATCAATCCACTCCAAAGATGACACTAATGGTATGTATTCTATCCAAACACATACAAAGTGTTCCAAATTATATCTTTCATATCCCCACCAAGGATATAATACAAGAATATATATACAATACGTACAAGGAATAGGCTATGGCTAAATGGGCTAAGAACAATGGGCCAAATAAAATACATACATACAAAATACGTCTAACGTCCCACCGCAGTCGGGACGGAAGGTCGAGAACGAACGTTCAGACTGGATCTGAAGTTAAGAAACAACGATGACGGTAGTCCTTTAGTGATGATACACGCATATCGAGACGATGATGGAACATGAAGAACTCGAGCCTATGCCATGTCAACTTTATCTTTTGACGAAATGAATGTCAATATTTATGTGCTTTGAATGTTGATGTTGAACTCGATTAGAGGATAGGTACACGACACTAACATTATCACAATAAACTATAATGGCCGTGAGAGGAGGATATAGAAGCTCACGTCATAGGTTGTGAAGCCAACACATCTCTGCACCAGCATTCACAACACCCCTATACCCAGCCTCGGTACTGGAGCGAGAAATGGTACCTTTGTCTCTTGGAGGACCAAGAGATGAGGTTCTATCTGAGAAAAACACAGTAAGCGGATGTGGATCGTCTAGAGGATGGGCAGCCAGCCCAATCTGCATCAAAGTAAGCAACTAAGCCATGCAAGGGAGATGCATATATCTGTAAGCCATGATGTAGAGTGCCACAAATATATCTAAGAATGTGCTTGAGGGCCGAAAAATGAGGCTCTCGAGGGTCATGCATAAAAAGGAAAATCTATTGAACGCCATAAGTGATGTTTGGCCGAGTAAAAGTCAAGTATTGTAAGGCTCCAGCGAGGCTGCGATAAAGGTTCGGGTCAGTGATAGGAGGATTAGTTCCATCGAGCTTAGTTGATGTGTCGGCATGAGTGCAAGTTGGTTTACAATTGGACATCTAAGCTCACTCCAAGATCTTGGAGGCATACTTTTGCTGATATAAGAACATGCTATGACGAGCTCTGGTGACAACAATACCAATGAAATAATTTAGAGACCCCAAGTCAGACATGGAAAACTCTAAACATAAGATGGTAATAATTTGCTGAAGAAGATCTATAGAAGTGGTTGTCAGAACAATGTAATCAACATAAAGAAGCAAATACGCCAGATGATGTCCCTATCTATAGATAAACAAATGGGAGTATGATCGACAATTATAGAACCCGTGAAGGAGGTAAAGGGGAAGAATCCGGATTGGGTTTAATATGAAGGTTAAGTTTGTTGATTGGTTTAAAGATGTCGTGTTGAGAGCGAGTATTCATGGAATGAGTGCGAGGGGGATGGAAGAGAATTTTGGAGGGTTTTAGAGATATTTGGGACAGGAGGGTCAATGGTTGGAGAAGGTGGTGGAGAATGGGGATGAGCGCCAACAGAACAATCATTACTAATAGGAGTTCCGACAATAGAGGGGTGTCGATAGGAGCGACATCCTCAATGGTGGTTTGAATAGGTAAAAATGGATGAAGAGGCTAAGAAGGGTGGCTTGTATTATTGCAACAATTTCGAGAATTGTCAAAGTTGAGAAAGTCATACTCGGGAGAACGATGGGGTGTCATAGAACCAAAAGGAAAAACGGATTCATCAAAGGTGACATGACACGAGATAATGATTTGATTTGTGTGAAGATTGAGACATCAAAATCCTTTGTGATAGTAGGGTATCCAAGGAAGATGCATGTAATTGATTGTGGTTGTAATCTGTGAGTGTTATTTAGGTGTGGGTAGCATAGACAACCAAAGACATGAAGATGAGAATAAGATGGATGTTTGTTGAAAAGTTTATGAGTGGTGGAAGGAACAATGTTTAATAAGTGACTCGCCATGTGTAAAGCTTTGACCCAATATATTGGAGGAAGATGGGCTTGGAATAGAAGGGTACGAATAATATTATTTATAGTTCGGAGCATTCTTTCATATTTACTATTTTGTTGTGAGGTGTAAGGAAAAGAGAAACGCATATGGATTCCATTTGAATTTCATAAGTGGTGAAATTGAGAATTGCCAAATTCTTTTCCATTGTCACATTGAAAAGTTTAGATGTCAGTGTGAAATTAGTTTTTGACATAAGCTCGAAAGCGAAGAAATTTAGAGAAAACATCAAACTTATTACGAAGAGGGTACACCCACAAAAAATGAGAGAATTGATCAAGAAATATAACATAATATGTTATTCCACTGTGACTTAACAAAGGAGAAGTCCAAACATCGGAATGAATAACTTGAAACAGAAATAAAGCATCAGCTTTTGACAAGTCAAAATATAATCGTACGTTTTTTTCCAAGTTGACAAGCATGACGTAATAAATGAGAGTCCTTTTATTGCAAGAAATAAATTTACTGGAAAGTAAATGCTAAAAAACTTGATTGCTAGGACGGCATAGCCTTTGGTGCCATGTTGAGGAAGCAACACTAAGGAATGCTTGAGGAGAAAGACTTGTAACAGGATTGAGAACACTAGAGCTGTCACATCGAATGAGGACTTGTTTCATCACGAAATCCTTCACAGAAAACCTAAACTCGTCAAATTCAATTCTACATTTGTTATAACGGGTAAGTTTATGAACAGATACAAGGTTTTTAATAATCTGAGGTGTTATGATGACATTTTTCAAGGGTAAGGTACGAAAAGGATCAAGGCCAAGAGTATAGTTGCCCATTTGGACAACCGGAATTCGAGATCCAACACCTAATAAAAACATAAAAATTAGACAACTTATTGCTAAAAGATTTGAGAATACATGCGTCGAAGTGAAGATGAGCAGTTACCCTGGTGTCCATGTACCAGTTTGCATTACCCGGATCTTGTAGAGTCAAGGTACAGAAAGCTTGTGATATTATAGTAGTTTGATCTAGAGAGGAACTTGGAAAATGAAAATAAGGTGACATGTTGTATTGTTGATGTTGTGGGCCAACCATGTAGGCCTGAAGAAAATGAGTTGGAGTCGATATGGGTTGTGGAGCCTGCTACGTCAATGTTAAAGTAGCCTAGTATGTGGAGAATTGGGCAAAGATGTATAAGGCGTGGGAAGCAGCCCAACAACATTTTTGTTGGGTCGATGTGAAGCAGGTAGACCAAGCCAAAAAATGATGACCCCCAAGAGTTAGCGTTGTTTCCAATCAAGAAAAAGGGGGTGATGCTACCCTACGAGAGAAAAGGCACGCTACTGCCCTGCGATCGTCCTCTTTCGCCGCCTCTGTCGGCCTTGCCTCCTCTTCCACCGCCTCTGAAGTGTCGACCACCACCTTTGCCATGATTTTGATTCCCGCGATTATTGAGTTGAGGTCGATTTTCCATTTTAGTGTTGAGGATGGTGGGAGCGGATGAATCATCGAGATGAGAAGCTTGCACCATTCGTTGTCAATCTTTAATCATGGAGCATTCCTCCAACGTGAGCATAAAGCATGTTTTAAGGAATATGGGTGTAACATACATAAAATATAGTCCCAAAAATTTCATTTTAAAATTATTAAATAACAGTAGTTATCAAAACATTCCCTCAAAAGCGTGAATCATAGTATCCATAATAATAAAAATCAAAGCAAACATATCAAAACATCAGAGCAAACATCCTAGGATATACATTGTGGTGTGTGAAATGCAGAAAACATATAAACATACATCAAGCACTTCCCGGCATCGGACTTTAGTTCGGAATACATACAGTCATAAATACAGGCCAACATTGGGGCCTTCAACTCGTTCAAACAGGAGGAAAACTCACCACCAATGTCAGATGATATCTGAAACGTCTCTGCCTAGGAATCAACTCTACTCACTCCTTGAACCAAAACAACCCCTTAACCATTTCGTACTCATAACCCCTTTAGGGTCAACTATGGTCAAAGTCAAAGTCAACGCTTCAAGTTGACTCAAATCGTCGAGTTCCCATAAATCTCAGAATTGTGACTTTTCGAATCAACTCATCGAGTCCTCCTTTAACTCGTCGAGTTCTTCATTTTTAACAGAATCGGGACACTCCGGCTCAACTCATCTATTTCCTATATGAACTCGCCAAGTTCTTCAGTCTGTTAACCGTTCATAATGCATTAAGCCATTATTCTTCAAATCCAAGTCTCATATTCCAGATCTGGGCCGAAAATACATTTAAGAGGGTAAAGTTTCTAACTTTACCAATTAAAACCTACCCTAGAAGAAATAAGCTCTAACTATAACCCAAAAAGGCCAAGGTCTTGATCCAAGAACAACCAAAACTATAAGATAGACCATAAGGTCAAAGATCTGGACTCTAGGGACTAGTAATCACGTAAAGTCTTAAACTTGATCCTCATGCATGGCCATTAGAAGCTTCAAAAGACCAAAATGACGATCTAAAGGTTGCATGGGACTTCCATGGCCATAAAGTTGGCACCTTTATGCCATGAAAACCCCTCAAGACCCTAGATTTGAAGTGTTATCCACTTGGGATGTCCAAATACCAAGAATCATTTCCTTTGGACAAAAAACAAGCAAGGAACTCCAAAAATGGAGATCTAAATGACCACAAGGCAAGGTTCAAGCTTTATACCAGCAAAATATCATGGATAAGGCAATGATTCTGGATCTATAAGCT